CAACAGAAAACAAACCCAGCAAGCGCGAGTTGCTCATGGAGTTGGTTTTTTGGGAGGTATTTTATGTGCAAAAGGAGTCAGGACTAAGAGTTTCTGTTTTTTCAATACAGAGGCCAAAACCCTTAACGCATTGATATCAATGAGGCCCGCCTTTAAGCCTACTTTTAAACCAACCATCCCCACGCACCCTTCTCTCAGTGGTAGTAGGAAAACCAGTAACAGAGTGGTACAGTAGGAGATTATTCTCAAGTGGATGCTGGGTTTCCACCTTCCTCCTCATTGCTTCTTTTAGCTTGAGAGTTTGCCTCTGAATTTAATAAGAGTAACACCGTAAAAATAAAAGAGTGTAGCTGACCTAATTTCACATATTGCAAGGCTATAGCTGACATTTCTACTTTTACTTAAGCTAGAATATTACTGGGGAAAAAATATCTTTGCAATATTCGTCCTGCTTGGAAAAGAGCCAACTAGGGGCAGCAGAAATCATCAAACCAGATTTCTCTCTTTTTTAAAAACACATTACCCATCCACCCACAGTCTTACATTTATTCTGGCGTATCATGTGATTGAGCAAAAGAACAATACAAAGAAATCATTAGAAGAAAACATGGAATAGGTTCATCAACAGTATACTGAGACTAACGTGATAACTCTAACAAAATAATTTTTTAATAATTGGGAGGTGGGGTGTGTGTCTTTTAATACTAAGGGAGTACAGTAGATGTAAAGTATTGCATTTCATCAATAGTTTTTACATACTCCCAAAGGAAATTATTAAACTGGAAAGGCTGGATTAGTATGAAAATTAAGTATCACCTGAAGAGAGCTGGCTAAAATGAGATGACAAGCAGACAGTTCAGATGGGTACTTTGTCCTGAAAGGCAAGAGAGTTCTCCACAAATGAGTAGCAACATGCGACTGAAATTTCAGCTCACTGAACACTTGGAACAAGAGATGGAGGACACAAATTTACTAATGGCACAAATGGAAACAAAACTTGAGCATAAACTTGACATTGCTTTGCACGTCACTTAAACGCCACTGACAAAAATATTGCCGTGAAAAAACGTCCCTAGAGGCCCGTACTTATCAGTTACGGATGACGATAGAAAGAGACAGAGCTGTATTACATTACAGCACAACCGCCTGCCACAAGTGCACAAAACACACTTTACTGAGCGAAATGACTCCAACAGAGACAACAAAGCACAGCTGGCATTGTAAAGAACTGTCAGGATGTCACCTGGACACAAAACACAGATGCCAGCAATCACATTCAGGAGAGGAATTCAGCCGAAAGAGGGACATAGCAGGACTACCGAGATCACGAGGGGAAGGAGAACCGACTGTGCGAGGGCAGCCTACAGAAACACGTTTGTTTAGTTTAGGAAGCAAAAGACAAACAGGGGAATTATTGCTCTCTACATGTTCCTTTGGCTAGAGAGCAGAAACACCAGTGACGGAAACACATTACCTGGAAGATTATGGAGGCACTATCAGCTAGCCATGAATAAATTGTCTCATTTCTACCAGACAATGGCATTGAGCCAAACGAACAAATGAGATTCTAGGGAAGCTTTCTAATAAGTATAAGAAGAAAGCAGGCTATTTCCAAGGCAGTCCTTGATAAAGTTTTTTAAGGCTACTTTGTAACATCATTGATTGCTGTGGCTGGGGAAGATTTGATGACTCAGGAGGTCAAGCATAAACATCCGAACTAGAGAAAGTATGAGCTAATGGCGCAAAAACGCAGTGAGAGAGGCTGGCAAGTGGCTAAATAAGCACAGCTACAACCATGAAAACAGGTCATTTGCATGCTAGATGCAAAGAAATAGGTTATAATTTCTGCCGTAATTGATTTTTCCTGTTGGTATTCATGATTGTTCTGCTGTTAAAATAATGACACTGTTTTTAAATTGCTATTGCTATGAGAGTGCATCTTTTATACATAATATATTTAATTACAAATTTTGTTATTGCAAATTACAACAACTCTACCAGTCCCAGGCATGCCAAGTTCTTCTTTGCAATGATGTAAGTACAAAACATAGTTTCTATTTAGCTACAAGAAATATATTTCAAAGTAATTGTTTTTATAAGCATTGCCTCATTAGCTGGGTGGCATCTGTTGAGTAACCAGTACCCTGCCCTGGCTTAAATTTATTTCCATATAATTTTTTCTCTATTATTGCATTATAATATTTATACAAAGTACCCTGAAGATATCAGAGATACTTTTAACTAAATTTACTCTTTCCTGAATATGGCGGGGGGGGCGGGAAAGAGAATCAGTTCATTCTTGAGTTGGTATAGGAATATTTCATGTTCCTCAAGCAACAGCATTTCTGAACTATGCTCCCGGTACAGTAACGCTACTCTTGGCTACATGCATCAAACCCGTGTTCATTGAAAAGCAAAGCCCCCTCTGTTCAGGCTATATCAGAGATCATCATCATCATCAAGGACACAAAAAAAAAAAAAGTTTGGGTTCCGTGCTAAACAAAATAGTGTGAGCCAGGACCAAAAGATCCCCAAACAAACCACAAAGAAAACCCACCAAAAACACAACCCAGGAGGAATATCATGATGTGACCACACTAGTAGGGATCATTGTAAACTCGTCCGAAACGCTGGCTTAGGCAAAAACCAGGAAATTTCAAGAATCTAAGTTAACGCACTAAAACAAAGCCTGTAAAACGCCAATACTGTCTGAACGCCGTCTCCAAAGTTGTAGATATATTGCTAAGTCATCCACAAGATTTAGACCTGACTTTAAAATATTTTGTATTATTAGGTCTTCTCCGTTTCCTAGTGACACAAGTTTTATTGGCAAGTTTTCACAGAATTATTGCAAACATTCAATATAAGCAGCAAATAAAAAGTCAAACTAGTGCAGGGCAATTTAAAAACCAAAGCGAAATCTAATTAAATGAATTTCTGCTGCCATCGCTATCTGTCAGTGATGCAATTTTCACCTGCTCACAATAACTCCTGACAGAGTAAAGTTGCACAGACTCTCTCCTGCTAAGTGACCTGTTCAGGCAACAAACAGCTACGCAAACAACAGATCCCCAACTGCAACTATATCTTTACAGCCTTTTTAAGGAAGGAAGCCACTACACATTTGCAGTCACACTATCACTAATGCATGACAGCTTTAACACGTAACTGTGGACAAGTATCTTTCCTTTCCTCTAAATCGCCTGTAACAAAAAGGTGTGATCTGCATGTTTTTTGAGATAGGGACATTAACTAACCTGGAAGTTTGTCATATAAGAAGGAGAAAGGAACAAAAATTGAAGCCTGAGGAATCTGTTTTCCTATTTTGAAATATCAAACTGTCCAATACTCTATGTTCTGGGGCATCTGTGCCATGTGTTTTGCACCCATTAACATCATTCAAGTGTAACTAGAAATCAGCATTCAACTGAAATTCATAATGTTATTTTGATCAAAGATGTCTTTCCGAATGAATCACGTTGCCTGCACGAGTACAAACAGTATCACAGTAAAAGGCACTGCTTTTTTATTTCCAGCCTACCACGAACGCTTTTTTCCATGACCGCAGAACAGATATAGCCCAGTGCAGTCCTACCGTCCTGCTTCCCTCCTCTCCCTTCATCCGCTTCCCATTGCTCTCCAGCACCCACGTCCTCCAGTGGTGCTGATACACGCCAGGGGACATCCCGCTGCCGTGCGGCTTCTCCTCCCTCAAATCTAGCGTTTTCCTGCTCAAAGAACACTTGACAGCCATCACCGCATCCAACATTGCAAAGCATAATGGCCCCGCTCCTCTGCTATAATAAATGATTAAAAAGCAAGCTAATTGTATCCGAGCATAGATCAAGTGTCTGAAATATGAGCAGCTCGTACACTTCACTTCAGTGTCAAGAGTGACAGCTATAATGACAGTGTGTAAAAATGGATAAAATGAAATTAGTTTTCTTGTATATTATTGACATCAAATACAACGGAGGGTTGGGCTGGGGGATAAAAGGGAATAAAAGGACATTTGGAGAACAATTAGTAGAGCAAGAAAAATATACTATTTGATACCCCCCAAAAATTAGGCAAAATACAAGTAGGATTGAATACTTCTCATGAAAGCAAAACTACTGTATTTCATAACTGCCAAAATAGCTTCTCCTGAAAGAAAATCCAGCTGCAAGAGTAAGTCATGAATATGTACTATTACAGCTTACCTACATGAAACATGTACTACTGCAGCTTACCTACATGGAAGGCATAAGTGCCACTTATAATGAGCAACTTCATTACAAACATTCTGAAACTGTAGTCAGTTTTTACCTGTCCCCCTCGTTATATTCTTAGGAGTACTTAAGAACAAGTCCATCAAACTCAGTTCTTCAACTTTAAATTATTCAAAAGAATAAATCACAATCAGTCATCTAGGTCTGTAATTTTTTTATTACTATAGATAATTGGTAGAACACATTTCTGGTATTTCTTAACTAAATCCAACAAAGATGCTGCAAACATGAACATGAGCTATTGGTGCCACATTTCAGGATTTCTAAAGTATTGTTTCTCTAGAAGTCCCTCGTTGTGGATATTTTCTCACGTTTTTGGTCAGATATGTATACAGCCCATTAACAATTCTCTCTCAATTTCCTGTTCCGAGTGCTGTAACTGTCGATTCACAAATAAAGCAAGGTAAAGTATTTGTTCAATGAATAAGAGGAAAGAAATTTTAATGCTCGAGTCCAATACTGAATAATCACAACTTAAGAGTTTACCTTGCCTAGTAAATCAACAGCTTTGTACAATACAGTCACTGGCAGATGCTTAAAATCATGACAGCATAACGAGATCTATCTTTATTGTAACCTCTCTTTCCTACCAAGTATCCAACTACTTTTTCAAGTAATAATTCTGGGGTTTGGAAATGAAAACAAAATCACAGAATCATCCCACCCCTCCCACAGCTACACCCCCACGGCAAAAAAAAACCCCAAACCATAAAAACCCCCCCAACTTACCTTCATCATTCTGGGCCAAACAACCTGCTAAGACAGTAGCAACTGCAATCCCTACAGCTAACCATTTCCAGAGACAAAACCGCTGTAACATTTTTTGTCAAACTTCACTCAAGGCAGATCTGAAAAAGAAAGATTTGATACGCACGTTAGTCAACCAACCTACACAAAGGTGAGTTATTACAAACTTTCGCAGGTAACTAGGTACGCGTAACTACATACAGCATATATAGTCTGTAAGAGTGCAACATTGCTCCTGTTAAAAGCAGCAAGGTTAATACCATTAGCATCAATACATACACACGTACTCGTAACTTGATAATCATGTATGCACAGGCCTCCAAATAAAGAAAATGCAAGTTTCTTGCTTAAATTGGGTCTAATTTCCATAATGTCCATACAATAAAGTATTTATGTTATCCCTCCTGCTTTAGCCTTATGCTTTAAAGCACTCTGGAGAAAATTCCACTTATTAAAGCTAGCGTTCAAATGGAAGAGTCAACAGGGACCCAGTATGCAAAGACATAGCCCAGCAGAACTTCTCCCAGAAAAAACAGGAGTGAACCCCATAGACATAGATTTCTTGAAGAAGACAGTCTGTTTTTTCATGCCCAGCAAAGGGGGGAAAAAACAAACAAAAAAACCCACGCATACAAAAAAAACCCAGGAGGATAAACTGGCCAAGACAGATCTGGATGAATTCCAGAGCATACTTAGTAACATTAGAAAGTTATCTAAGCTCTGCTGTATTGTTCCAATAAAGAGAATTAGCATATTTCTGTAGCCCAGAACTGAATTATTTAAAAATATTCCTTCACATTTAAAAACATTGTGACAAATACAATGGACTTCCTAGCAACAGAAGCATGAAATGGAGAGAGACTTACAGCAGTATAAAAACAAGCTATTGTATAAAAAGGGTTTAAGTGCTGTCAATTTTCCCAAGCAAAGCACTTGACTCAGATTTCATTGCCACTTTCTGCTTATAACTTTCTATTGTGGTTACAAAAGTGCTGGATTTCATTCCAAGTCAAACAGACTATTACCCCCCTCGCTCAACAGCCTCAGCATTAACACCATCTGATCCTCCATCAGCGAGCCATTATTGAAGATACACTATCATTTTCCTTCCACAAATTGAGCTTATAGAAAACATAAATGTATGGACAGCATCTAATTCACATGACACACAAAAAATAAATCTACTTAGGGCACAAAAACATCCTTTCAGATCACTCTCAATAGGCAATAGTTTCATTAAGTATTGGACAAGCCAAGAACTTCTTTAAGATCTGAATTTATTCCAAATCATATTACCTTGCAAAAACATTTTGGTTACTGTGAAGGAAACAGTGCTATGATTATAGAATCATTTAGGTTGGAAAGGACCTTTTGGATCACCAAGTCAAACCATTAACCCAGCACTGCCAAGCCCACCACTAAACAGTGTCCCCAGGCACCACCTCCACCCTCTTTTAAATACCTCCAGGGATGGTGACTCCACCACTTCCCTGGGCAGCCTGTTCCAATGATTGACAACTATTTCAGTGAAGAAATTTTTCTTAATACCCAACCTAAACCTCCCCTGGCGCAACCTGAGGCCATTCCCTCTTGTCCTGTCCCTTGTTACATGGGAGAAGAGACTGACCCCCACCTGGCTACAATCTCCTTTCATGTAGTTGTAGAGAGCCATCAGGTCTCCCCTCAGCCTTCTTTTCTCCAGTTTAAACAACCCCAGTTTCCCTCAGCCGCTCCTCATCAGACTCAGACTTGTGCTCCAGACCCTGCACCACTTGGTTTGCGCTTCTCTGGACACACTCCAGCACCTCAATGTCCTTCTCATAGTGAGGGACCCAAAACTGAACACAGCACTTGAGGTGCTGCCTCATCAGTGCCCAGTACAGGGTGACAATCGCTGGCCACAATATTTCTGCTACAAGCCAGGATGCTGCTGGCCTTCTCGGCCACCTGGGCACACTGCTGGCTCACATTCAGCCGGCTGTCGACCAACACCCCCAGGTCCTTTTCTGCTGGGCAGCTTTCCAACCACCGTCTCCCAGGCCTGTAGTGTTGCCTGGGGTTGGTGTGACCCAAGTGCAGGACCAGGCGCTGAGCCTTGTTGAACAGCATAAACCGCTCCTCTTCGAAAGAGGCCAAAACAACTATGTGTCAAGAGTTCTGGAGGAAAACCTGGTTGTTTTTTCAAATGGATAGAGAAAGCAAGCAGTGAAATTTAGTAAACCAGATTGAGTGGCCCATATTTACTTAAATATTTAAAGTTCCTAGGTGATTGACACTGTATATATTTAGCCTGCTTTCAAGGGCAACCAACTCACACAAGTGGGATCTATTAGGCTCCCTCACACAGCAAGCAGAGCTCCTTTTTTCTCTGCAAAGACACGGATCACAGTTGACTTTTTGCCTTCCAGTGGCTTTTAATACCAACATTCACTGTTCCAAACAGCGCTGTAAAAATAAAGGGGACACCACACACACTGCGCCACTTCTCATTCTGGGCTTAAAGATGAAGAGAGGTTTTTCCAATCTCCATCTTCATTCAAGTAGGACCCTTCCCACCCTGTTCAGCAGCAGTAGGTCACCGCAGGCAGTTAGGTGCAGCATATAGGCAGCAATTTCAGGAAGAACTTAAATATTATACATCAAACAAGGAGGCAGCTTGCATCTAATTGAAGCAGCAGTGCAGATCTCATGGGACTGTTCATTTTCATTTCGGCTAGACAAACGTCAGCCTTGACAAAACAGCTCAAGGTTACAGGAATTAATGAATTCAAGCCATACAATAGTATCTATGAACCATACAAAAGCATCCACCTTCCTCCCCCTCTTCCAACTGGCACTTCTGCAACAGTTTCTGTCCCCAACTCCAGCAGAGACAGCTCAAATGACAACTTCAGAGCCTTCCTAAAGGGACCGTTATTCCTACACACGTGAGGAGACCAGAATTGTTCGCAGAGATCTCACTATCCATAAGAAAAACTATTTAAAAGCTTGCTACACAGCTATGAAAAGTATGTGACCCATAGAGACAAACAGCAGCTACTTCTTTCTTGAGGGGAAAAAAATAAAAATAAAAAATCCCTTCCTTGAGGAACCCACTCAGGAAGTTTGCCAGTGTTGCTCAAAAGTGGCTTCTTCCTCCCTTCTACTTACCAACCAAAATGCTCATCGGATTACTGTCACCTAAATAACCACTTCGCCGATTCAGAAGCCATTCTGGATTTTGCAATGGCACCTTCAAAGAACAGAAGTTATTTCCACCATAATATATTTTAGTTCATTACTTTTAAATAAAGGCTGAGTGTCTCCACGTTGCCCAAATGGATTCAAATGAATCCGAAGTCATCATTAGACTTCCTGGGAACTTTTGAGGTCGTGAACTTTGCAATATTTCACCATTTTTTCCTCCCACATTAAGAGGGGATCCTAAAATAATTGGGCTCTGCTGCTTTTCAGGTGCCATATTGGGGGCATTTGCCATCAAGTGTTTCCAACCTTTTATACCTCAAAACACAGAAAAAAAGTGGTTTAGGAGACTCTCTTAGTTTCTTCAGGTCAGTCTATGAAAGATCACATCTATATGCAGATTACATGTGTTATCAGACCTAGAAAGAAATGCACGTACACACTTCAGAGGCCTCTGACATTTCATTTTACAACCTTGGGAAAAAAATACGTATCTCCAATCACGATGTTCTATTTTAGAAAGTTATTCAGAGCTCAGCTGACATCCTTGAGTTGAGTCTACTCTAGAGAGATTTTAGGACAGACTCTTGGCAGGTTTATTTTTGATTTTGATGAAATGTCAAGTAAACCACGAGGATAGCAACGCTGCTGCTCTAAGAATAAGCATCTCTATATGCAACTGTAAGAGAACAGAATAAAAATTGGCCCCCTTTTTTCTTCCAATTTGTACCAGAAAAAACTGGTATGAAGTGTAGAAAGCAAGAATATTCTTAAGTTAAAGGGATCCTGCTAACTCAGAAACAGTTCACAACAAACCATGTTACTACGAAGTCTCCAAAGGTACACAATCTGTAAGAAATACAGTGCTGAACTCCAGATGTACAGACTGACAGGGCAAAGGACAGTTATGAATTCATGATAGAAGGAAGATCTGTAAAGTAAGAACACACAATATGTCTCAGACTCAGTATTTTCCTGAAAAATATTCTAATGTTGGTACAGCAGAATTTGAAAGCTTGATGTTACCATGGGCAACAAGAAGTTATACACTCAAGCAGAAAAAACTTTAGAAGAAAAATAGAAAGAATTAAAGTTTAGAAGAATTTCAGTTCCTGGTATGTCTGCATTCAAAAAAAAAAAAGAAAGAGAAAAGTTTCAATAATGTCCTCTCCAGAGCATTTCCTCTTTGACAGTACAGCTGTACTGAGAAACAAAAATACGCACAGATTTTCCCAGAGGAGCGGCAGCAGCAGCCGATCACTGGAGATGTTTACAGCTCGACTGCGGCAAACTGGCATAATCACACTCCAAGGAGCAATCATGTCTCCTTGTCTCACTTCTGGCTTTCCCCCCGCCCCCCTTTCCCCTCTCACCAGTGTAGCTACTGAATCAGCCAAAACGCCAACCAGTTATGAAGACATCTATGTAAGAGGCACTCCAACAAATTTAAATTTTAAAAGTGAATAACCCCCCGCTAAATATCAAATATGAGTTATCACATCCAAGCACCTTGAATATATTTAAGGCTCAATGATATTACAGTAAGCTTAAACACTTATTTACTGTAAGATTGGGAGTTACTACAGCACTTAAAACATTGCATTCACTTGAAGCTGAGGGGGGAAACATGAACTCAGTTGAAATAACTAGCCATGCACGGTTGTGGTAAAAAATATTTTAAGATACCCATACAGAATTGTTCAGTTTATAAAAAACTGAATTTATAAGAAGTTTTTTGAAGTTGGGTACATGCTCGCACAGTCTAATGGCCACATACTGAATGTAACTGATTCTTTATAACCTCTCAGAGAAAGATAGGCAAGGGGGGGGG